CAGCAGATTATTCTTTTTTTTCTTCTTCCCTGAGCTCGGGGCGCATCTCCTCATCTTCACGATCTACAGGAGCACCAGCAGCACAAAGTTCCTATACCTGTTCTCGAAGACTGTCAGTCTCGTTCGTGATAAGCTACGTGAGCTGCAGCAGCTGCAGCAGCAAAAGAATTCTTTTCTTTCTGAGCCTTGGGCGCCTTTTGTTTCCGCGGTGGTGCACTTGAGCAGCAGCAGCAAGAATTTCGTGGACGTGTTCTTAAGGATTGCCCCTTACCTTCGTAGTAGGCCACACGAGCAAGAGCAGCAGCTGCGGCAACGCGAAACTTCTTTTTCTACTCTTCTGCGACTGATGTGCAACTTTTCACCTTCGTAAGTCACTTGAGCAGCAGCAACAGGGATGTCTCTAACCTGTTGCCCTAGAGTGCCCCTAACATTCGTAGTGTATGTATATGTATATATATATATATAAATATATATATGTATATATATATGTATATTATATATATATATATGTTCTCACCTTTAGCAGCGGCGGCACCAGCAATAAAAATCATTTTTTCTGTTTTCCTTGTGCATCTGCTTACTCTCATGGGCTACTTAAGCGGCAGCAACAAGTAATTCTCTATCCTGTTGCCCAAGATTGCCCCTTACCTTTGTACTAGGTTACTGGAGCAGCAGCAGCAGCGACAAATATCTATGGTTCGTTTGCTAATTCCTGTGCGCGTCTTCGTACCTTCGTAGGTTACACGAGCAGCAGCAACAAGAATCTCGGCCATGAAGTTCGGCGCCCAGCGAAAGCCGAAGATTTTAGTAACATGTTGGACGAGACTACGCAATGTGCGAGGATCTCCTACATCCAATTTGTGAAGTACCTGTACACCTCACACATATTAAGATCAAATACGGCCGGCTATATCTGTAGCTACATAGATATGATACACATATGTATACACTCCACATATAGTAGAAATTACAGTTCCCGAGATATCAGTACCTGTAAACATAACAGATACATATACATATCTGTAAACATGTATGTGCGCCCCCCATTTACCGAAGTAACATGCCACCGGGGGCGCCACTACCTATACACATATATGTACACCCCGCATATACCGACATCACATACTGTTCAATAGATCTTCTACATTCACTTTGTAAAGTACCTGTGCACCTCACACGTATTATAATTACATACGGCTGGATGTATCCGTAGCCACACGGGTTCAGTACACATGTGTATACAACCCCACATATACTGAAATCCGATAATGCCCAGGATATCAGTGCCTATAAGGATATATGTAATTCTTCGACCAAACTGTGAAGTAGCTGTGCACCTCACACATATTAAAATCACATAAGGTCGGATACACCCGTAGCTACGCAGATATAGTACACATATGTATACACCCCACGTACACCTAGAATTACATAGTGCCCAGGGTATCAGTACTTACATACGTATATATGCATCCGACAAATACTGAAATAGTATACAGCCCCGGGCACCACTACTTATACACATATATATACACCCCACATATATTGAAATCACAGCCTGTTGAGGCTACCAGTACCGCTATATACTGCACATATACAAAGCACGCACTGCCCAGGATACCAGTATATATACACACATATGTACGCCGCACACATATTTGGATCACTTGCTGCTCAGGACACCAGTGTCTATATCCGTATGTATACACTTCACATATATTAAGCCACATAATGCCCAGGATACCAGTACCTATGTAAACCACATGTACCAAAATCATATATTGCGTTGGGCACCGGTGCATATACACAGAGGTATCCGCCCCCGCATATTATTACACACTGTTCAGGATACCAGCACCTCTGCGCATATACAAACATATCATATACATCAAAATTACATGCTGTATCAGTATATATACACATACGCACGCGCCCCACACATAGTAGTGCCGTATGCTGCCCAAAATATCAGGAGTCACACACATGCGTACACAAGCCACATATGTACAATGCCATACGCAGCTCGGAGTACTCCAGTATGCACACACATATATTTGCACCCGACATTTATGTAGCGCCATACGCTGCCCAGAGTACTGGAATGTATCAACACAGAAACACGCCCAAATATATGCAGTACTATTTGCTCTGGGTACTCCAGTATCTGTACAGACGGATTTGAATTGGAATCACATACAACCCCGGATACCGGTACCTATACATCCCACATATATAGTGACGTACTGCATGAAATACTAGTGCCTGTACAGCCCTCACATACTGCCCAAAATATCGGTACCTACACACAGCGTATATCGTATTGAATACTTCCCAAAATACCGGTGCCTATCCGTCCCATATAAATAAATGGCAACTGCCCGAGGAAGCAGTATTCATACAGCCCACCTATGATTCCGTGCTGCTCAGGGTGTCGGCAGGGAGACAGACAGACGCGTCACTGTAACCTGCTGCTTATACACTCACACATGCTATCTGCTATTGACTAGGAGACAAGAGGGAGTTCAGAGAAGCAGGGAGACACACAAACGCATGTGTCTCTGCTGCCAACACGTTCTTCATATTCCTAGCAGATAATACCCTAAATACGGGCACAGAGCCAGACAGTCGCTTCACTGTGTGCCAGCAGCGTGTACACCACGCACGTATTACCGGGTTTCGTGCGCGAGCGAGGGGGACGAAGACAGAGAGGTGGAGAGAACTACGGAAGCTTCGCTGTGGAGCAGCACCTCACAGATGCAGTCAGACGTTATGCAGGAGAGAGGTGGAAAGACAGACAGGCGAATTGGGGAAGAGAGGCGTCAGTGTATGTCAGCGTTCCATACACCGCGCAAATATTATCAGCTGTTCGTCTCGGAGGAAGTTAGACACACGGAGACGAGACGGGAAGACAGAAAGACGCTTCACTATATGTCGAAAGCTCATGCACTCGACGTAGCGTATCAGGCGCCGTCTGGGAGACAGGCGGAGAGCGTCAAAAAGGCGGGAAGACGGACAGTTACTCCTGCTACATATATCTGTGTATACATATATATATATATATATATATATCCACATATATGTACGTATGGATATATATATATATGTATATGTGCATACATATACGTATGTAGGTACGCAGAGAAGGGACGGGAAGACAGAGAGAGGCTTCACTGTGTGTCGAAAGCTCATGCTCTCGGCGTAGATTAGCAGACGCCGTTGAGGGGAACGGTGCAGAGAGTCAGACCGGCGGGACAACAGATAGAAACTCCAGGTACACATATTCTTGTACATATATGTATACATATATATGTACATATGGATATATACATACATGTATATGTGTATAAATATATGTAGGTACACAGAGACAGAGACAATTCACTGTGTTGGTAGCTCATGCACCGGCAAATATTATCAGACACTGTTGGGAAGTCAGGTGGGGAGAGTCAGAGAGGCGGAAAGGCAGACAGGTACTTCTGGTGCACATATCTGTGTCCATACACAACCATAAACGTATGGGTATATACATATACATATACGTATGTATTTATGTACATATATGTATAGATACGCAGAGAGGTCACGGGAAGACAGAGAGATGCTTCACTGTGTGGCGGTAGCTCATGCACTCGGCGTAGATTATCAGACGCCTTTTGGGAGAGAGGTGGAGAGAATCAGACAGGCGGAAAGACAGAGAAATACTCCTGGCACGCATATCTGTGTACGTATATACATATATATATATATATATATATATATGTATATGGATACGTATATACACGTATGGATTTATACATATATGTATGTGTGTATACATCTTCAAATATACCTATATATATATACAGATAGATACGCAGAGAGGGGCGAGAAGACAAAAAGACGTTTCACTTTGTTCCGGTAGCTCACACACTCGACAGGGAGTATCAGACGCCCTCGGGGAGAAAGGTGAAGAGTCTCAGACAGCCGGAATGACGGACAGATACTCGTGCCACATATGTCTGTGTATTTATTTTTACATATATATACGTACATGTGGACATATACGCAGATGTAGAAGTGTATGTATAAATGTGTGTAAATATACATGAATGTATACATATATGTATATACATATATATAAGAGAGGCTGCGGAGAGAGAAGCGCGGGGTAAAAGACGAAGTAGACCCTTTTAAGTTTGCCGTTCCTCCTTTCAGATACGTACAGCAAGGGCCTTCCCAGAGTAGCCGAATTTCATAAGAACCGAGAATTTCCAGACTTCACTCGCGATACGCTCGGCTAGGTCTCTCGTGCATGCAGCGGCCCTGCCGCTGCTGCTCCTTCGTCTCCCGCTGCTGTCGTTTTGCTGCATATATGGTGCACCATCGAAATATATATCTCCCTCCTGTTCGCCTTGGCCCTTCTCTGTCACATTCCACAAGTCGCTCGTCCCCAACAGCCGCTGTTGAAGCTGTTGCTGCTGCTCCTGCTGGTGGATGTGCTGCTGCTGTTGCTGATGTGGGTGTACGGGTTGAAGGAAAGCAGGGTGTGTGAAGAGACGGCGATGACGGCCTCCGGCAGCCATACAAAGAACAGATATATCTTCTTTCTTTTCTCCTTCTTCTTCTTCTTCTTCATACATATATTCTGCAAGCATTTCTCCTACATCTATGAGATTCCAGTACCGATATTCGTGAAGAACCAGAGGAAGTCTGGTCCGCAGTGCCTCTCCTATTGAGTTGCTCCATATACAAAAGTAACTACCTAGAGGCAGTAGATGGTGACGTACTACCTCCCTCTGTAATATCTGCTGTTGTTCGTGCTGCTGCATTATCTCCCGCATTACCCCTCCGTTATCGTGCCGCTGCTGCTGCTGCTGCCGTTTGTGCTGCTCCCCCTCTATCTCGACTTCGTCATCCTCCTCCTCCTTCTTCTTCTTTTTCTTCACCTGCCGCTGCTGCTGCAGCCGCAGCTGAAGCTGCTGCTGCTGCTGGTACCGCTGCAACGCCTCTACGTCTCCTCCTTCTTCTCTATGCTGCTGCTGCTGCTGCTCCTCATCTCTGCGGCTTCCCCTCGGTCTTGATACGTTCTGCAGTGGACTGTGGGATTGGCTTCCCCCTCTAAAGTTGTTAGCTTTCTTCGCAAATTGCTGAGAGCTGCCGCTGCGAATCTCCTGTATAACTGGTCTGCCGCTGCTGTTAATTCTATTGCAGTTCTCATCAGTGCTGCTGTACTTGTTGCTGCTGCTGTAGTTGCTGCTGCAGCTGCTGGAGTTGCTGCTGCAGCTGCTGCTGCTGCTGTTACTGACGAAGATGTGGCTTCTCTGTCGTTTTTCTTTTTCCCATATAGGTGCAGGGCCTTCACTTGCTGCTCTTGGTGCTTCTGAGGTCCTGGACTCTTCATGTGCGTCTGCAGCTTCCTCAGCATTTACTGGAAGTATATGCTGGGCTGACCCTGCAGTTGCAGTAGCAACTGGCAGAGGCTGCTGCTGCGGTTGCTGCCGTTGCTGCTCCTGCTGCTGCAGTTTCTGTATTTGCTGGTGCTGCTCTACGTGTATTCGTGTCTCTAGTAGTTTGTTGTGTTTCTGCCGTAGCTGGGTGAGTGCTCGACAAAAATTTCCCACATCGTCGTCATCAAAATATGTAGGGCGCTGCAGTAATCTTCTTCCGACAAGGATATATATATCAAAAGCAGCTTGACCGTATCTTTCTAATCCCTTGCTCAAACTTCTCATTTTCTCACTATCGATGGCTTTTAGGCTCGTGCGGCTTGTCTTCTTGCTGCCTGTGCTAGTGCTGCTGCTGCTTAGGCCGCTCCCCCCGTTGCGGTTGATGTGTGCTTTCTTTCTTTTCGTCTTGTGATTGCTGCTACTGCTGCTCCTGCTGCTGTTGTTGATCTCGCTGTAAAACTTTGTTCCACCGCCCGTACTGCTGCACCTCCAACTCTGACTTTCGCCGCTGCCGCTGCTGCTGGTGCTGTCGCTGCTGCTGCTGCTGCGCCTTCCCCCTCCGCCCGTCGTTCGGCTGCTGCTGCTGTCCCAGCTACGACTGCTGCTGCTGCTGCCGAATCTGCAGCTGCTCTTGCCGGCTCTGTTGCTACTGCATGTTGCTGGCAAGGCAAGAGAGGCAGCTGTTGCTGCGGCGGCAACACAAAGAGCCGGTCTTTCGTAAAACGAAAGTAGAGTGCAAAGACGAATGAGTTGCTGTTCAGATAGAAATACGTCTTCTTTAACTACAGCCTCAAGTATTGCTGCGGCTGCTGCTGGTTGTCGCAGATTCAGCTTCCAATAGGCTTCCATGAGAGGCAGTACAGCATGCGAAGGGATTTGTACCGGCAGAGACAGATTTTTCACAATCATTTCCTCGTGCTGCTGCTGCAACAGACGCCACAATTCCTGCTGCTGCTGCTGTATCGTACGCCACATTTGTTGCTGCAGGTGCTGCAGCTGCTGCTGCTGCTCCTGCTCCTGCTGCTGCTTCTGCACCGGCTGCTGCTTCTGCAGCGGCTGCTGCTTCTGCACCGGCTGCTGCTGCTCGTACAGCTGTTGTTGCAACAGTTGTAAAGCATTTAATCTGCTGCTGGCGTCGTTACTGGCTCTTACCAGCAGCAGTAGCAGCAAATGGAAAGTACACCTTGCCGCTGGCTTGAGAAGACATCTTGAAAGCTGCTGCTGCTGCTGTTGTATACGTTGCTGCTGCAGATATTGAGGGAGCCGCTGCTTTTCAAATGCTGCAGGAGGAGTTACAGCAGCAAAACAGAGAAGCAAAGACAGTGCATGGCTGTTGGTGCAGAAGGGAAGAAGAACAGCCGCTTGCTGCAGCAGATGTTGTAAAACTGCTGCAGCAAGAGCAGTTTGTGCTGCAGTGTCTCGTACAGGAGCAGCAGCAGCAACAGGCGCACCTGCAAATTCGGGTAGAAAAGGTATCACCTCAGCAGCATATCCAACTAGATGCTTCATAATCAGTTCGCCCGCAGCAGCAGTCGCAGCAGCCGGTCTTCCCTGAAGAAGGCTACTAGCAGTCCTTACCCCTGCAGAACTGTCACCAGCAACAGCAGCAGCAGCAGCAGCACCTGGAGCAGCAGCAGCACCTGGAGCAGCAGCAGCAGCAGCCTTGTGAGGAGTCAGAGAAGCAGAAAAGGTAGAGGTAGACGAATGGTCGGGGATCAGCGTGTTCTCTCCTCCTACTCTTGGAACAGCAGCACCGGCCGCAACTGCATGAGGAGAAAGTCGTGCTGCTCTGAAGAGAGAAACGAAATCCGGTAGCCGTAGTGGTGCTGCACCTGCTGCGGCTCCTGTTGCTGCTGCTGCCGCCGCTTCTGTAATCCTATTGAAGTAGGCGGAATCGCCTGCTACATCTCCATATACGTTGAAGGGATAGACTGCAGTAAAAAAGGAAGACCGTTGCTTCGTGTCCCCGTTGCTGCTGCTGCTGCTGCTGTTATTCGTCTTGACGAGAGCAGCAGCAGCAGGAGCAGCACAAGCCGCAGCCGCCGCCGCGGGAGCAGCGACAGCAGCAGCACGTGAGGAGGAGGGAACAATAAGCCGCAGCAATTTCTTGTGTTGCAGCTCTTGTATGCTGCGTACAAGTGAAGCATTTGCTAGCAGCACGAGACCGCGAACTGAATCTGCAGCAGGATTCGCTGCTGCGTCCTCCATAGCTGCTGCTGTTCCTTTCCAAGCTCTTTCCCTGGTTGCTGCTGCTGCTGATAATGCAGCACTTCTGGACGGGTACCTCTTCGCAGGCCATCGTTTCCACGGCGGCAACGCCGCTACATCACATTTGCCTCTCTGCTGCTGCTGCTGAGATCTCGTATGACGACACACGTGCTGCTGCTGCTGCTTCTGCAGCTGCCTACGTTGCTGCTGCTGCTCACGCTCCCGCTGCTGCCACTCACACCAGAAGGGAAGCCGCTGGAAATGCTGCCCGGCCTGCCACGTCCGCTTCGGAGGCTGCTGTTGCTGCTGCGGCTGCTGCTGCTGCGCTTTCTGCTGCTGCTGCTGCCTTTTACAGAGGTGGTGCCATCGACTCAGCAGCAACGCCTGGTGCTGCTTTTCCTGACAAAGAGATTTCTGCAACCCCGTTGCATGGGCAGCAGCACACGGCTGCTGCAACAAACGGGGAACATGTTGCTGCTGCATTTTTAGGTACCGCCACTGGAGGGAGCCTCCTTTTTGGTGCTGCCGCTGGTGCTGCCGCTGCTGTGAACGAGGATCACCGAAGGGCTGCAGTCGCAGCACCTGCTGTGTCAACACCGCATGGTGCTTCCGCTCCTCCTGCTGTTGCCACAGCAGCTGCTGTGACAACTGTGCATGCTGCTTCTGCTTCTGCCGCTGCTGCTGCTGTTGCTGCAGAAGTAGTAGTGGCTGCGGTGACAAAAGCCAGTGCTGCTTCCGCTCCTGCTGCTGCAGTAGCTGCTGTGACAACGGTGTATGCTGCATCTGCTCCCGCTGCTGCTGCAGTAGTAGTAGCTGCGGTGTCAACAGTGCACGCTGCTTCTGTTGCTGCTGCGGCAACTGCCGCCCGCCGTAGTCAGGTGGCTGCTGCGTGAGTCCCTCCGCCTGATGTCCGCAAAGTAGGGACTGCTGCTGCTGCTGGTATCGAGCGTATTCATGCTGTTGCTGCTGCTGCTGCTGGTGTCGAGCGTATTTATGCTGTACGAAGAAGCAGACGATCTGTCGCTGGGACGGAAAAGCTGTTGTAGAGGGCTGATTGGTAGACGTATGCATGCATGCAAGCTGCTGCTTGTTGTACAGTCGCTTGCATGCATGCATACGTCTACTTAGAAGAGTGTCACAAGAGGGTTGCTGCAGATGCTTTAACAAGAGAAGCAGCTGCTGCCGTTTTGAACGGGGACGCTGCTGCTGCTGCTGCCGCGGGGGCGATTGCTGCACTAATACGGGGAGCCGCAGGTGCTGCAGCGGCTGTTCCAAAGGCGGAAGCCGCTGCTGCGTCTTCCTCCATGACCATTTCATCCGCTGCCGGTGACTGTACAAAGACGAGACCGTGGCAGCACCTAATTGCTGCTGCTGCTGTAAGTGATGATGCTGCTGCCGTAGCTGCTCCTGCTGCTGCAGCTGCCGCTGCCGCCGGCGATGCTGCTGCAAACACGCCGAGAGAATGCCTGCGTCGTTGTTCTGCTGCTGCGAGTGCTGCCTCTGCTGCTGCAGGTCCTGCTGCTCCAAGTTCTGCTGCTGCAAGTCCTGCTGCTGCAAGTCCAAATGCTGCGAGTCCTGCTGCTGCAAGTCCTGCTGCTGTATTTCCTTGTGTTTCACTATTACGCGGTGCGGCTGCTGCTGCTTTCGCCAGCCACACTCTTGCTCGTCCACTAGGAAATCTTGCTGCTCTTCGACAAATGCCACCGAATTCTTCAGGCGGTTCTGCCGCCGATGCAGCAGCCGCTCCTCTTGCTCTTGCAGCAGCTGCCTTTGTTGGTGATGCCGCAGCTGCTCCGGCTGATGAAGCACCAGCTGTGTCTGTTCCTGTGGCACACGTACATGTTGCCTTCTCCAGAATACCTGCTGCTGCTGCTGTGGCTGCTGAGTCTGCTGCTGCTCCGTCAAAACTTTCTCTCTCTGTTCTTCCTCTTCACCCGAGAGTTCATCCCTCTTCTCTCCCTCCAGCAGTGTCTTTTGCTCCAGCGGGAATTCGTCTGTCTGCTTCACTTGCTGCTGCAGCATCTCCGTTACAAACGTTTCCTTCTTGAAGACAAGCATCTTCCCGGCTTTCCACAGCAGCAGCTGCCTTTCCCCAGACACACGTGTTGTCCTCCTCCATTGCCTCGGTTGTGGTAGACTCCTCTTAGTGACCCTACGAATACCCCTGCAGCCATTTACGCTGTTGCTGCTAGTGCTGCTGCTGGAGCTGCTATCGCTGCTGCTGGTGCTGCTATTGCTGCTGGTGAGAACCCTGTTGCTCCTGCTGAAAATCCTGTTGCTACTGCTGGGGCTGCCACTGCTGTCATCATAACTCATGTTTCCATGACTACCGGTGCTGGTGCTGCTGCTCCTCGTAGCACTGCTCGTGCGCGGAGTGTGGGTGTTGCTGCTTTGCACCGTGTCGCTGCTGCTGGTGCTGCAGAACGAAGCGGAGCACTTCCTGCTCCCGCTGACTATCCACTGGTCCCCGCCGCAGTTGTCGCTGCTGCTGCTGTTGCTACTTGTGACGCTAAACGATTTGCTGCCTAGTAGGTATGTGGTGCCTAGTACGTCTTTGCTGCCGCTGCTGCTGCCGGCGCCGCTTTTGCTTTTACTGGAACTGCTCTTCTTTTCTCTGTAGGCCGTGTTTCCCCTGGAGAGGAGGCAGCCGGCAGCTGCAGCAGCGCCAGCAGCAGTTGCTGCATGGGGCTGCTGCTGCAAATATTTTAGTCTCCATCCTCTTTGCCAGTAGTAGTAGCTGCCGCAGCTGCTTCTGCTGCTAGCAGCAACAAGAAGGTGCATTGCTTACTTGTAAGGGCGAACACACCAGACCAGAGACCTTCTTTCTCGTCTCCTCTCCGTACGTCGTATACATATCCTCGCTACGCTTCTGCTTCACAAATCATCTTTTCTGGCGCACGGACTATGCTATCACGTACATATAAGTCTGTGAAGACCGATATGCACGTATATGCGTTGCTGCGGCCGCCGCTGCAGCACAGTAATATCCCTCCGTGCCTTTCCTTCTTCTTATATAGACTGCTGTAACGCGAACAGTGCAACAGTCTATGCTTGTACGTACAGATACGTACCTGAAGAAGTATGTCTACAGAGAAATTCTAAAAGAGGGATTACACACATACAGGCAAACACATACACAGAGAATGAGAGACACACGTACGAAAACATATATTTAAACACATATACATGCGTCGGTCTGTATATTACAGCGTGCGATATATATATATATATATATATACCAGTGAGAATCTGTGCAAAGGAAGAAGACAACTGGAAGAGCGAGTAACACCGAAAGAAAGGGGAACGACACCGACAGCAACAACAGGAACGGACGGGAAGATATCGAGAGAAGGATACACAGACAGACGCGCATACAGAGGACAAGAAGACAAATGTAGCGAGAGAGAGGGAGAAAAAGGCAGGGCAGGACGACAAAGAGTTACCAGAGGAAGGCGACAAAGAAAAAAGTTCAGATATGAGGAGGACACGAAAACGGGGCGGAAAGAGGAGAAAGTCTTTTACATATACATATAGCTATGTGCATATATACACACGTACATGTATGTATATACAAACATACATATATATATATATATATATATATGTCGCCCATTAGAACTGGATGATATACATCAGACACCAGCGCCAAAAGCGCGTCTCGCAGCTGCATGTGCGACTGCACCTCCTTGAAGAAAGTAATTCACTCGGCGGCCTCCTCACTACCACATACACATATGTGTATGTTACTATCTGTATACACGTACACAGATAGATAGGATGGTAGATAGATATATACATAGATACATAGAGAAAAACATAGGTGGGTAGACAGAGAAGCCAATATTTCCCACCTCCCACTGCAACCTCGATCTTCACAGCATCAAACAAACACGCCTACAGATAAGCTCTACGTTCGCTAACGGTACAACGTAGATATGCAGATATGTATAGACAGAAGGACAGACAGATAGACGGGACAGACAGAGAGACAGAAAGGGAGGCGGATAAATAGAGAGAAAAGACCGAGGTATATGCGGCAATACAGAGATTCAGACATGCTTACAAAGGACCAAACATTGAGAAGATCTTCATATGCAAACACGTGGAGAAGATTAGCAAAAACAAATTCTACAGGGAAAACAGGCAACTAACGTCATACCTCTGGGCACCATAAGTATGTGCATAGGGCTCGGAATAGGTGTATTCATACGCACATGTTGCACACGACGGCCAGACAATTCTGATCCTCTATTTGTCTATCGATACATCTGTTTAAGCCTTTGCCTGCCTATCTACCTATCTGCCTATGTTAAAAATCACCACAAAAAGTGATCCACGACACGTGTATCATCCGTACGTTAAGGTGAGATTAGTCAATTTGTACGAATAAAGCAGCGCGCGCACACTGACCGTGCGAACATACGCATCTACGCATTTCTGTATGTATACGTACGTATATATATACATATATATGCATATGCGCTTGTACAAGAATACATGTATATCCATGAATGTGGGAACGGACTTTCGGAAATGTATGCGCTATAGACGCGGCCCCAAACGTGTGCTTGTCTGGATTTCCTCTCAGGTAGACGCGCAGCAACAGGAGTATGAGTAGTAACAGCTTCGCTATAGATACACTCAT